GCAGAGCCACATTTATTACACGTTTTGTCCATGTTACTGAAGCAAGTTAATCTCATCAGTTTACAGTTTATCTTCTCAGAGAGGTCTTGTGCCCCCTGAGCAGCATTTCACAGTGTCACGCCGAGGGCAATTCTCCCACTGGTGGCTGTTGTTAATATTACCTATAATGTTACACAACTGCTGCTGATTGGCAGTGTGGGTGGCCAGGAGACTGAATGATGGGATGAAGGCAAGGAGAGTGTTTTAAAGGGAATGAGTCAACCATATTAAAAAGACAGTCTTGGTATGAAGTGAATAAGAAAAAGGCTTGGATACAAAAAATTATTAATATAGACAGAAATCCAAAACCAAAATTGGATTTTGAAAAAGGGTAGGCTCCTCTCTGCTGCTCATATGAAGTATCACATGGAGCAAAATAAGCCACTTACTGAAAACTGATTTCCTCATCACCTGGCCTGAAAACAGCATTAAAGAAATATAGAAGGGAGAATTTACATTTTGTTTATCTCCATTGGCAAGAGTGGATTCGTGTTCTCTGTGAAATACCTTCCTGAAAAACCTCTCAGAAAATTTAGAGAATGTATTTAAAAGAAACAGAAATTTATAAGTCTGTTACTCATTTTTATTGAATTGTATGGGCAACCTAATGTTTTTCACAGGTGTAATTGAAAAGATAAACTTTTAATTCCCTTTCATGTAATCAGCTATTTCTCCTAATTTTCTCATTTCTTTGTTGATTAGAAACTAAGTGAATTAGTGGAATACATTGCATATTTCATATGCTAAGTCAGCTTTTATAAATTGGAATTCTTCCACAGAATTGGTTAATTATAGAAACAATAACCCAGACTTTGCACAAAAAGTAGCAATTCTTAACAGTCTCCGAGTTAGAGAACTAGGGGTGTTCAGCCTGGGGAAGAGAAGACTCTGGGGAGACAAGCCTCTAATACATTGCCATGGTTTAATCCTCCTGTATTTGTTATCCCCAGCACTTTTGGGAGATGTCTGATTGCCTTCACTTCTCTGAAACAAAGTTGAGACACGTAAGATACCTTCTTTTTTTTTTTTTTTTTTTTTCCCCCATTTGCCCTTCAGATATGTTACTGGAATGTGGTGGAGCTCTTCCAGAGCTGCTCCTGCTCATACTCAGGCTGGAGCCCAAGCTGGGTGAGCTGTGGCCCACTACTGAGCAACACATTCCCCAAAGACATTGTGTTCCAATGCATTTTTGTGTTGCTATCAAGCTGGCACGGTGTGTACAGAGCGTGTTCCACTCCAGCATTTTTGTGTGTGTTAACCCAAACCCTTGACCTCAAAGATAATGTTGGCTAATAACGAAAAACAGCCGTCCTGTTCTAGAGAAAATAAGATGTATTGTAACATTGCAGGTTCAATTTGCTTTATTCACTGCAATAGGACTCATTATCTGAAGTATATCTGTTCTCCCCAGATAAACTGTGGAGAAAATGGATGTTGCAGTTCCCAAAGGCAGGTCTTTTATCTGCTCACCAGCAGATCATTTGTGGCACTCACAGAGAAATAAGATGCTTACTCAATGCAGCCAAAATAAGTTATCTGAACAAATAATGACGAGTTTTCCCGTTCCAGTACTAATCTTCTAGATTTTGATAAATTGAGTCAATAGGAAGAGTCATGTTACATTCCCATGGGAAAAAAACTTTGTGGATTTTTTCTGATACGTAAAATTATTTTTCTGCAGTACATTAGCCATCTTAACGTGTGGTAAGTTAATTAAAGTTTGTTAGAAAGCAGTTTAAATTATAGGTAACCAGTTATAGTCACAAACAGAATTTTGGTGAGGACGAGTTGAGGGACTCTGGGATGGATGTGCAACATACCCAGGTGCTTCACTGTCTTTCAGCAGTAATCTCTCATCTTGTCCCTGTCTGTCACTGCTGAGCTTTTGAACCAGGCTATACAAAATTAACTTTGGTCCCAAAATAGACAAGGCTTCATAAATATTTCAGGAAATTTTATTTAGTTGGATAATGCAGTTTTTACATATTTCCATCAAGAGCATTTTGCCTCAAAAATTGAGAAAATACCATCTGTTGCTCATAGTTCATTTTGGAGCAAGTGCCTCTGTACATAGACTTCTGCAATTATTTTCTGTGAGTTTTGGGTTTTCCACATCTCAGTTAAAGGTTTGTTGTTTTGGCATTCAGGCTGCAGCTTCTCTGTGCTTCCAGAACATTTAGCAGCACAGTGGTCAGCAACTTCTGTGTTTATCAGAACTGATGCACTGTCTTTGTGACCAAATGTATTTCAAAAATAAGATGGAATGTAGTAAAAAGAGATCTAATCTAAAAGATCCCCATTTATTTGGTTTGTTTGCTGTCAGCCCTCAGAAAGCTCTTTCTCATCTCCTTACAATTTCCATTTTATTCAGCTCAAGAGAGCAGTTCTTGAAATTTGTTCATGGAGGTTTTTTGGGCCCAGGTTAATATAATAAATGATACTTTTACTGGCAGTGATTAGTTTTGAAAAATTGGAAAGGTAAGAGGAAAACAAAACCACTTTCTTATATTTTCTAATCTTAGAAGAACTTATCTCCCTTATACTGAAAACCACTTCAAAGCTCAATAGTGTGATTTTTCTGATAGGTTTCACATGTCTTTGTTAAGCTATTCCCTTTAATTTTCAAAATATTTAACACCACTGAAAGAATGAATATAGCACGTGTGCTGAGTGGTGTCATAAAGAATTACTTCTTTAACTATGCTGCTGTCTTTTAATGTATGGTAAGAAATAAAAGCATTTTCCATTATTTATCTTGAGCGCTGGTGTGAGATGATGGCTGTAAAGCAGCTTATTCCTGCTCACAGGAGTTTGGGAATTTTGTGCCATAGCCTCTTGTCAGCTGTCTGCTACCTGGGACCTGACATTTTGTATCATGCACTGCTGCTGTTCACTACTGAACCATGGTGTAAACTTTCATGTGTGCACACTGTAACTTTCTACATGAACAGCAACAGGTTAAATCTACCTTTTTCTGTAATTACTGTTTTTAGACACGCCTAATATTGTCAAGAGGGGTTTTTTTTCTGTTTTGTGGTGCTTTTCTATTGTTGTCTTACCCATCCCAGTGTCCCTTTGCAGTGATTTTTGGTGTTTGAGCAGAGCAGGAGTCTTGCTCTGTGGCAGCAGGGGCAGGGTGTGGCCTTGGCAGTAGCACCATTCCCTTGCCTCCTTGATATTCCCCGAACTGTAATCATGGATATCTCTGCTCTGCAAACCCCTTCTGACCTTCTTATTCCTCCCACAGAAATTTCAATAGCAATTTTCACCCCAAGGGCAGGAATACAGAATCTTTTGGCTGCTGGGTAGAGAGAAGCACTGACTTTTCCCACTGACATCCTGTGCATCATCAGGACCGGAAAATCTTCTGCTTGGATAGGATGGAAATTATGGAAACTCCATTCAGTCTCTGTATTGAGGACTTGGATTACACAGTCTTGTGTGTGAAGTTTTTTCTCTTACACAGGGTCAGAATTATTCAGATTGGTGCTTTCAGTGGGAGAGAACAGTTCCAAGGCATTGATGGTTTTCCTGTGTCATAGCAGAGATGCTGAACCACAGGATCTGTTCAGTGAAGAACCATACGAGAACTTATGAATTCAGATTCTGTGAAGGTGACAGCTTTAGTCAGGGATCAGTGTATATTCAGCTTGTTTTGGTACCTTCTCAATTAAAATTGCTTAGACACTGAAGGATGGTCTGCAAGACCACAGAATTGTAGGATCCATTTGCTTTGGAAAAGCCCTCTCAAGTCTGGGTTGGAAAAGTCATTGAGTCATTCCCCCAGCCTGCCAAGGCTACCACTGACCCAAGTCCCCAAGTGCCACATCCATAGGACTTTTAGATCCCTCCAGGGCTGGGGACTCTGCTCTGGGCAGCTGTGCCAGGGCTGGACAGCCCTTTTATGAAAGAAATTTTCCATACTGTCAAACCTGAACCTCCAGCAGATCAGCCTGAGGCCGTTCCCTCTGCTCCTGTCCCTGTTCCCCCTGCCTGTCCCCTCCTGTCAGGAGCTGTGCAGAGCCACAAGGGCCCCCTGAGCCTCCTTTGCTCCAGGCTCAGCCCCTTCCCAGCTCCCTCAGCCTCTCCTGGGGCTCCAGCCCCTTCCCAGCTCCGTTCCCTGCCCTGGACACGCTCCAGCCCCTCGGTGTCTCTCTTGTGCTGAGGGCCCAGAGCTGACACCAGGATTGGTGTAATCTGTAATTACTGAGTGATTTTATCGAGTGACAGCAGGAGGTTCACAAGAAACCTGCTAATATTTGTATATGTGCTTCTGCAGACAGTGTTAAGTTGTTATTGCTAAGTATAATATCAAGGATGAAGAAAATATTTGATAATATAGTCAGGGATTATGCTGGGGTGAGGGTACTGGTGGGTAAATTACTTCCTGCAACTGTAGTATATTGTATGTAGTAAAGTTTGGGAGGTGGGAAGAAAAACATTAAGAAAATTGTTGGGTTTTAACTGCTAATTGGTGGGGTTTTTCTGGCCATTTGCAAGATGTGATGTTTTGCCATCTTATTCTTCTTCACAAAAAAAATATGGGTTTCTGTACTTCAATTAACATCACATAGGATGAAAAGAATAAGAGCCCATTCGAAAGAAACATTAAAATATGGTAAGGGTGCTTAAATTTGGAGTTAACAATGAAGTCAAACACAAAACTGAATGCCTGTATTAGCAACTGTATCTTCATAGTAAATTGTTAAATTTGCTCCTTTCTGGAGAACCACTCACTTGCTTCAAAAAGGGTCATCAGAAATCATCTCTAAGATACACATTAAGATCTACAGATTTCATTAGGTACTATTTACATTGCTATTAATACTACTGTTAGGTTTAATGCATAAGTTGGAAACTTTGTCTTATATAAGACCTGCATTGCTCCTGATGGGATCCCACAAAGTAGAAAAATACTTTTTACAAGAGAATGTGATTGTTATCATTCCATGATAATTGTCAAGGTTTCAGTTCTTGCAGCACTTACTGCTGTGTAACTTCTCCAAACAGTTTTGCTGGTGACATTTTGCAGCTAAGCTGAATGTGTAGGGCTGAAATCAGAAACTTTTTCACTTGAGGAATGTCTTTAAAGTCCTCAAACTCTCCTCAAGGTAGATTGGTTCTCTTAATTAAAGCCTGTATCAGGATGATCTATTTTACCTTTGTATGGTGGAGTTGGGGTTGCATATGGGACTTGTTCTTTCTTGTTCTACCAGTCAAACTAAACAAAATCTTCCCATACCTCTAGGGAATGCTGCTAAGTTTGGTGGAGAAATGGAGAAATCTTCATTTCCTTTCAACAGCAACAAAACCTCATTAGTATTTCAAGCATGGTATGACTAAATAAAAATTCACAGTTTTAATTTTCTTAGTAAAAATGTTGTCATCTTCTAGTAGCAGTTGCTTCCCAGGTTTTGTGCGATCTTAGACAATGATTGGGTTCAGTTTTACTAAATACTGTTTCCATTCTGTTGTCTTTGTTGCGTGTGGTTTGGGAATAGTGTCTGTGAGTGCTAGAGTTCCCAGCTGGTGACTTCCAGGTATTTTGGGTGTTGTGGTGGATCCCCTTATGCTGAAGCTTCCTGGGGGCTTAGAGCAGCCTCTGAAGCTTGACCCTGGGTAGATGTCTTCCAGAATAATTTGCCTTTTCTAAGCTAATTTGGTGAAAATCAGGTTATTTGAATTGATTTGCTGATCTAGTGTAAGGTGTCCCGGCCAATAAACCTTCCAAACCAAACCATTTTGGGTTTCTGTGACTCTGGGAATTGCAAAATCTTCAGTAAACAGGTAAAAAGGACGCAGGGCTGTGAGACTGAGGCATCACCAAGAATCAGTAAAGCACTGAAGGAATCTGGGCGGTTTTATAGTAGTTTTTGATTGATTCTGGAGCCTGACTTTGAAGGAAGTGGAGGATAAGTTAAAATATTTCAAAGTGAAGTGGTTTAGGATTGGAATTTCAAACACAGGAAGGGCATGGATGGAAGAAGAGATGAAAGTGATGGGG